CCCATCCTCCCTTTCCTGTACAAGTGTGGAAATGAGCCTCCTCCCTCACCTGGTGAGCCACAAACCGGGTGCAGGACAAACCCCATCCTCCCTTTCCTGTACAAGTGTGGATCTGGCAGCTGCTGCTTCTTAGTAGAGAGAGTTAGTGCATCAGAAAGCAGGGGAGAGGTGCACCTTTATAGACCCAAGTTCACTTCATCATGAGTAGATCCAGGCAAGAAGCGACTCTCCGAGTCCTCCCTCACCTGGTGAGCCACAAACCGGGTGCAGGACAAACCCCATCCTCCCTTTCCTGTACAAGTGTGGATCTGGCAGCTGCTGCTTCTTAGTAGAGAGAGTTAGTGCATCAGAAAGCAGGGGAGAGGTGCACCTTTATAGACAGACCCACACTTCATCATAAGTAGATCCAGGCAAGAAGCGACTCTCCGAGGGAGTTGCAGGGTTGCTTTCGCTGCAGGCGCTCGGATTGACCCGCTCGTGTCCCTCCTTCCCCCAAAATGAAACACACTTTCACGCGTACGTGTTCTCACTCTCCGATACCCATCAACAGCGCTACGCAAACCCAGGTTGTGGCCAATGGGAACCTTTTGTGACCTGGTGCGAGGATGTTTCTGATAAACCACGGGGAGAAAGGCATGGTGTATTATTTTTCTTTTGTGAAAGCAAAATGAACTTCAGTTAGGTTTGCAGCTCTTTGCAGAACAGTCCCTTGGGCCAAACCAGGCCTTTTTTATGACAAAAACCTAATGCAGTGGGAAAACATCACCCGGTGCTGCTTGTTGGCCGAGACACAGGAGCTCTGGACATTTCTCTCCATTGTCCCCGTCACGGTTAGCGGCAGGACCCCCCCGCTCCCGGGGTCTCACCCCACGCACACGTCCCCTAGTGCCAGGCCTCAAGCCATGATGTCTCGAGGTGGGATTCCCCAATTCGCCAGCTGTTAGACCATGATCCCTTTGATTTTGGAAGTGAAACAACAGTCAATTAAATTCTCATAGCCAATTAAACACCGAGTCCCAAATGCTGGAACTCCATGCGCAGAAGGGGAGGGCCTGAAAAATGGTAATTTTTTGATTATTAAAAAAATGATTACAATTGTTATCCTATCCATTTCCTATCAGCTTAATTCAACAGGCATCTGTGCAGGTGCCCCCTCACCCCTCCTCGGGATCCCCCTGCCAGGAAAGCATGGGCCCTGCAGCTAGTGGGTCTCCCCAAGGGCTCCCCTTTGGCCCCTGTGACAGCAGCTGTTTGACGTGTGTCCTAAGCAGCGTCCTGACCGTATCGCACTGCTTACCGTGCAGTAAATGCTGCAGCACACGCGGGCCCGGGTGTGAGGCCAAGGAGAGCCCTACCCACTTAATCCCCTGAATGAGCAACACCTCTGCCCCAGAAGGGCAGGGAGAAGCGCCTGCAGGCTATTTCTTTTCTTCCTCCCTTCACTGTTAGTTGAAGCCCCGCTTGGCCATATATTTTTTCTTCATACCCATTTGCTTTGCCTCTATTTTCCCAATCACTGCCGATCCCTCTCATTTTAAAAGGAAGGACCAAACAAAGATGCAACACAAGATAAACGACGCGTTCTGCTGATACGGCTGCTCCCACCCGACGGGTCCGAGACCGCTTTACACACGGGACAGGAAAGACGCACTCCAGTCCTCCTTGAAATGCAGCCACCTCTGGATTGGAGCCGGGCTCACAGCAACGCTACCCACCGCTCTGTGCATGGATGCGTGATGCAGCGAGACAGGCCGGCCTGCTCCCGGACACACACATGCATCGAGCCCTGGGTTTGCACTGGCTTCCACACGTATTTACAGATCAAAGGGCTCCGCGGCCTGTTCAGGGTGGCCTTATCCAGAGCGGGCTCTGACAGGCTCACACTCCCTCTCCCAAGACAGACAGGGAAGGGGAGGCCGGCCTCCATGCATCTGGCCTTCCTCTCCCCCCACCCCGGGGGCAGGGAGATGCTGGTACAGCCTGGTCTGGCTGGGAACACCACGGCACGGAGCGGCGCTGCCCTTGTGTACACAGCCATCTGCAAACAAGCTCGTCAATTATTAATAAAGCTCAGCTCGGCCCCAGAGAAACCGAATCCGAGCAGGGCGGGAGGCGCGGACAGTCGCTCCCAGGGGAATGCAGGGAGCAGAGAGTCTCCGCAGACCGGGAGCAGCGAGGCTATAGAGATCCTCGGGAACATCTGACCCCCCTGAAACGGGGTCCTTTGCCCTGGTTTGGGCAGCTCATCAGCCTAGTCTGGAGCAACACCGACGGAGAAGACAGCGCACCCATCCATGGAGCCAGGTAATGTGAGCGCTCCCTAACTTCGGGGGGAGTGGGGATGCTGTTGGTAGCAGAGTGCATAAGGACTAGGGCAGCGGTCCCCACCGTTTCAGACTTGAGGCCTGCTTGGAAGATGCCAGCTCTGAGTTTCCACTTGATCTTTCACTGCCGAACAATGGCAGTGCAATTCCTCTCTTGCAAAGAGCTCAGCATGGGTTTAAAGCTATGGATTCCTATTTGAAATCTCTGGGCTTATCTTGTGGCTCGTGTTTGCACATCTAACATGGTGTGGCACCCTCAAAAGGATCTCGAGGCACCCTAGGGTTGAGACTAGCGCTCCGCTCAGCTATGCCAGTTCGCTGCCCGGGGACGGCCCTGTCACCTGGGCATTCACGGTGCTGGGAGGTCTGCCCAGTGCAACACAAGCCTGCCAGCACCCTCCACAAGCTCAGTAAATATCCCCCCACCAGGGAACAGAGGCAGAGAGGGGGCATCTGTGGCCAGCTCAAGGTCACCCAGCAAAGCAGTATCAGAACCAGGATTAAAGGTCCAGGGTTCCTGGTTGTCAGCCCGGGCTGAGCACACCTTGTCTTTGGAAAACCTCCATCTGCATACCAGTGCCCAAAGCCGGGCTCCAGCTGCCACAGCTCTCCTCTGACCCACAGCACAAGAGCAGCCTTGGGGAGGTCCGTGCATGTTGGGGAGAGTTTCCCTATGTTCAAAGGGTTTGCAGCCAGAGGGAGAGGAAATCCTGGCCCTGCTGAGTGAGCAGAGTTCAGAGCTTTGCCCCTCCTGGGGAAGCCAGGGTTATGGAGTCTGGGCACGTTCGATAGTATTTGCACTATATGCCACTCCTGGAACAAAGGAGTCCTGCAGCAGCATGCACACAGCCTTCTTCAACCCAACTAGCGGCAGGATTCAGCGAGATGACAGGTAGCTTCACACAGAGGCTGTTCATAGGGGACTTTTCAGGGGTGGGGGAGAGCAGTCGCCAAGCAGCTGAGAGCACGAGAATGAGCGCTGGCACGGGCAGTCAAGAGGCGCTGGCTGCGAGCCAGGCAGAGATCTTGTGTTCTCACCCTGGAGTATCAGGCATCAACCTCAGAGTGAAACTAAGTCAAGCAGCTCCGGTCCCCGAAGGGCTCCGGATTTCCAAGCTGCCGTCCGGTGTGAGCGTGAGCCACCAAGCGTTGTGGCTGCCACACTCGCCGGAAGGACAGATGCCAAGGGAAATGCACAGGTACACCCCGACACCAGCATCACACTGTTGCCATGGAAGTGGGGCATCCATATTTCAGGAGGCCGCAGTCTGTTGGCAGGGGCACGCGCCAGGGTGCCCGGTTCTGTCCACGGGGCCGCCCAGCGTACACTCGTCCTGCTGCTTGCTCCCAGGCCACAGCACCGTCCTTCTCTCACCACACCTGTGCAGGCAAGCAGCAAATTGCTCCAGGCGTGCCAGGGGCCCTGGAACGGAAAGGGTCCGAGCTAGGACCTCCCATCATGGCAGGTCCTAAGGGTTACAAGGACCAGACAGCACGTGACAGCACTGGGGGAGGGGGGCAAGGATCTGTGCATTTCCATCTCAGGTTTGAACACCGTTCAATTTAAATGATTAGTTTAAGTGGCCTGGGCGCAGGGCTGAGAGTCAGTGTGGCCCGAGAGGGAGACCCGGCTCTGACACCGATGCAGCATGCGGCCTTGGGCAAGACACGTTGCCTTTACACTTCGGTTTTCTCCATGCTTCCAGGGCCCGGGAGGAGGGGGAGTATCTACACACGGCCCTAGCAAGACGTAGCTCTCGTGACATGCTGTTAGTAGGGATCCAGCTCCTTTACATGCACAGAGGGAAGCCAAAAGCCCTCCAGTTGCTTCTCTCTTTCCAAGAAGTAGAGCGAGGCACAAGTAGACAGGACAAAGGCCAGGCAGTCACCCCTACTCAGGAGCCAAGACGGGGGCATCCCCTGCTTGATAGTGCACTGGTGGCAAGGTTGTCCCTCTATTTTCCCCCTCTGCTATGGGCTGCCCGTGTCCACCGTTAACAAGAGCCGAGCTGCAGGAAGTCTGCAGTTTGGGTAGTGGTCACATCCGGATGGAAATCCCTAAGGGTGCATGGGGCTGGACAGAGAGCCGGGATGGAGGCTCAGCCAGGCCACGCGAGTCGAATAAAGCCAAAAGCAACTCCAGAGAGCTGCAGCAAGGAGGCCTCCACGTCCTTCTGGGCTTTAACATCCAGCAGATAGTTTCTCAAGCGGGCCAGGCTCCCTGAAGATGCATCACCGAGCTCCGAGGGTCCCGGGGCGGCTGGGGGGATCATTTTGATCTTGACCACAGTTCGGAGGGTTGCTGGTTCTGGCCAGGTTCCTCTCAGCACAAGCTGCTGACCTGAAAGCCTGGATCCCAGCTGAGGCTTGACTGGGTTTCACAGGTTGCAGCTGGCTTTGCTTGGAGAGGCCCTCCTCTTCTTCCTTCCCTTGGCAAGGCCAAACATCCGGTGACCGGGTCCCACAGCTCCGCGTCTCAGCAATCCCTCATTTTAGGGTTAAACTTTGCCAGGAGTCTGCTGCATTGGGCTGGCAAACCCTGGAGAGGGAAGAAAGAGCCTGGTGGGGTTTGCTTTGTGGGAACTCTCCGCAGCCTTTGTGCAACCTGCACCGTGCCAGACCAGACTGGAGGGGTGCCCCGCTAATGGAGTATTTCCTACTCAAACCCACATACAGATGCTGGTATTTGCACATCTACAGCACCCTTTTCCCAGAGACCCGGGCAAAGAAGGCAGTGCAGGCTCACAGCAATGTGATGCCACCGTGCCCCTACCTGCTCCGAGCCACCCCAAGCTGAGGTCTGGTGCGTGGAAACGACGGTCACTAACAGGGATCTTCCAGGGTCGTAGGAACATGTTGGTCTTTTCTGTGCCACAGGGCGCCTGGCCGTCACCCTGCCCTGGCAATATCACAGACCACGAGGCCGCACTGTCCCCTGACACCGTAGCCATAAGGCCCTGCCAGGTCCTGCGCTACATCACAGGTGAAGTGGCAGCTGGAGGACAGATGGCAGCTTTGCTATTCTCCCTTCTGTCCCAGTTTCCAGAAACCACAAACCTTTTGTCACGTTCCTTCTCCCCACCTGGCCCCTTCCCAAGATGCTGTCTGTCCTGCTTCCTTATGAAAAGCAAAGACCTCCCTGGTCTGCAGAGCCAGGCTCTCCCAAGGTCCCTTGCCATGGGGAAAGGCAGTCAAGGCCCCAAACAGGGAATGTAACACAGGGGATCTAACAGGAAACCAGAGGTGTGATGTCGGTGGGGTCGCGGGTCTATGGGAGCGTGCGGTGGGGCAGTCAGTCCCGTGGGACTCGCACACATAGGGATTTACAGAGTTTCACATATGGCATCGCACAGCTGCCTCTTGTCTGGGCCGTGCTCTTGGCTCAGGGGACTGGTACTGCCCGTGCTAATCCTCCCCGTGGAGCAGCACAGACACGCCAGGGGCACGGTGACCTGCCAGGGCTCTGGCGGTCCGAGCGGCACCTAAACCACCCTGTCAGGATTGGGGAATGGATCCGAACGCTTCCGAGAACCCATCCCGGGAGCTGCTGGCCCCGCGCAGCACCTCCTCCTGCCTGCTTCTGGCCCGGGGGGAATAAAAGCCGACGGGGAAAGAGCCAGGTGACCACCATCCTGGAGCAGGCTCAGTGCACGGCTGGCTCTCCTCTGCTCACGCCTGCTTGGTGAACGGGATCCAGAGAAAGGCAGAGCGCGCGTGCGAGGATGAGTGGTTTTGGCAGCCTGTCTCGAGCCCTCTCCTGTTCGCCTCATTGCTGGGGAGCGAGGCACTTTGGCTCTGCAGAGGAGTCACCGCCTCAGCGAGAGCGCGGCGCTCACTGTGCTGTGGTTTCTTTCCAGGGACCGGCGCCACAGCCGAGCCTGCCCGCGCCTCTGCAGACGGGCTGAGAAGCCGCGAGCCCCTCGCAGGGATCAGCATCAGCGTGGAAGGAGCTCTCGGGGCGGCCCGGGGGACCCCTGGAGAGCCCGGTGGAGGAGGAGTCGGGGCTGTGGGGACAGGGCAGCAGCAGAGCACCACATCCCCAGACCTTGGGGGTGCCGCCAGCCAACCTGCACCTGCCACGCAAGAGAGGCAAGGGCCCAAGCGCTCGTCGGGCACCGCCAATGCTGGCTTTGTGGAGGACCCGCCGCCCTACTCTCCTCCAGACCCAAAGATGCTTCACTTGCTGTACCCGCCGTTCCAGGCCCCTGGCTCAGGACAAGTGCCCATCACGTACCAGCCAGGACCCGTGCACCACCCTGCCTGCTCCCAGTCGAATCTACCTCCTGTCTTCTTCCCTTACGCGATTGTACGTAGCCTCTTCGCACTCCTCTCGCCCCTCCAAACCCGCACCCCTCCAGTTGCCCCTCAGCAGCATGTGGCAACACGACTGCTGAGCTAACCAGGACTACGTCCCCCTTACACAGCTTCCCTCCAAGGGCCTGTCTTCCAAGGATGCACGGGTTGGGAGGTTCCCCTCCCTTCTTCCCACAGCAGACAGCAGGGCCAGAGGGCCAGCCTTGAGTGCATGCAATACAAAATGACTTCATGGACTTCACAACAAGTCGTGGGGCCATCCCATTGCTCTCCCCCTTGGCAGGGTCAGAAGGGAACACGGGCCCGGTGCTAGTCTGTCCATGACGTAGCTCCTTGACAACTCCCAGAGCCCTACGGCAAGGTCCTGAGAGCACGGGACGATCTCCGGGCAGTAGCATCAGCAATCCCTTGGAAGGAATGGGGTGGGTGCAGCGGGTGCCTTTTCCACGTCACTCTAGTGATGCCAGGCAAGAGGTAGCCCAGGGGATGGCCCAGGTCTCCTGGCATTAAGAGCCCGCTTTGCTCTGCCTTACAGTACAACGGGCCGCCTGGCACTGGGCTTCCGGCACCCGTCAACAGGAGACGTCCGCCCAAGGACTACATGGTGGAGTCCGTGCTGGTGATGATCTTCTGCTGCTTACTGACGGGGATGATCGCTCTTGTGTACTCCCAGGAGGTAGGAAACATCCTCAGCCTGGCTCCTCTCAACGGAGCCCAGGTGATCTTGGCAGCGGGGTCCTCTCCTCATGCCCCTGCAGCGTGTGAGGGATGGTCAGCAGTAGCAATAGGATACACTCAAATGATGCTAAGAGGTTGCTGTTGCAGGAAGGCTGAGCCACGGGGTCCCTGGTCGTAGCTATTTGGGGTAGCAGAAGGAGGGAGCAATTCCAGGAACAATCCTTTCTTCTCCAGAGTTGGCTCTTGGCTGCACCCTAGGCACGTGACAGCACAACTCCTCCGTGAACCCACCAGTCCCCATTCATACCCATGAAGAGAAAGCCTTTTCCGGTGGCCGTAGGGGACAGGAGTAGGAGCCACAGTCTCAAACTGCAGCACAGGAAATTTTGGTCGGAGTTGAGGAAGGGTTTGCTGCTGGTGGGGGTCAAGCATTGAGACAGGCCCCTGGAGAAGCGGTGGAATCGGTGTCCCTGGGGAGTTGCAAGAGCGGGCTGGACAGACGCTCGGCTGGGATGGTTTAGTTGGGAATGATCCTACCCTGAACGGGGGGCTGGACCAGGTGACCTGAGGAGGTCCCATCCAGCTGGAGTCCCAGCAGTAAAGATTTGGCCAGTGTCTCTTGGGGCAGAAAATCCTAGATACCAAGACACTGTGAAACCAGCCCTTCCTTTTTCTATTAGTCTCAGTAATCGTGAGCTGGCAAATCCAGACCCACAGAGATATGTAGGTGCTACAGAAGTCCGTAGGAGGGAGATCCCCCCTATGCTCGGCGATCAGGCCTCTTGTGCCTTTCTGCTTTGCCAGCAGCACCGTGCAGGGGAACCGTGCCCTTGGTCTGGGGGTCTAGACAAACCTCAGAAACTGCCACTGTCTTCTCATTTGCTGACATGCTCTTCTCCCCACCTCAGACACGAGCAGCCCTGGGCAGAGGAGACCTCATCCAAGCCAAGCTGGCATCCAGGAAAGCTCGGACCCTGATCCTCTTCAGTCTGCTCTTCGGCGTGTTTGTGTCTGTCAGCTGGGTCATCTACGTGGTGGTGGCTCTCTACATATGACCATGCCCGGGAGACAACAGGATGCAGCACGTTCTCTGCAGAGCTCAGCACTGCCGTCCACGTGAGCAGCAAAGGGACACATACCTAGCTGGGGGCTAAGAGGAGTGCAGTGGTACAGAGATCAGAGGGTCTCCCCCACCTCTGCCCCAGCAGCCAGCAGGGATTGCACAGCACGGGTACATCTTCGGCCTGTGTTTGGCGCTGCATTTTCTTCCTCCAGTGCAGTGACCGTACAGGCCCTGCGGTAGCCACAGCCAACCCAACCCAACCACTTGCACCCAGAGAGCAACAGTCACAAGGAAGCAGCAAAGCCAACACAAGAACAAACCGCCCTGCCTCATCCTGCCCCAGGGGACGGGAAGATAAAGTGACCCAAGCTCCCCCAGGCTGATTGCCGCATTGCTTCACTAGCCTGGTCCCAATCCCAAAACGAGACCTCACCCCTATGCCAGGTATCAGGCTGCAACAGCTGCAGGACCCATCAGCCTCCGTGGCCTCATTGAGACCCTGGGAGCTCTATTCCCAGAGCAACTGCTTAAGGGGAAAGCAATGAAAGCCCACAGTAGGATGAAGCCAGGGAGGCTGCAGTACTGAAGCCCTCCCCTGACAAGGGCATCCCACGCTAAGTTCACCCTTGTTTCACACCATCAGAAAAACCGAGCCTGGAGGACTCTTGCTTTGCTCGTGCTGATCAACGATCTCCCTAGAAACACCAGAGCAATAGGAGTCGGCAGAGGGAAAAGCCCCGCGGGATCAGCTGAATTACGCTTCCCCTTGCCGCACAATTTGTTTTGGACAAACACCCAAAAGATTATCCCATTTTATTGGACTGACACAAGAGATGCTATGAGCCTACCTGAATATAAGCTTCTAACACCCAGAATCCAGGTTAAAAGCAGAGACCAGCCAACAGAAGCTGTAACCCAAAAGGCAGTGTTATTTCTGGATTCCCTAGGGATCACAGCCCAAAAAAGCTCATTATAAAACACCCTCTTTTTAAAAAAAATAGGAAAGAATTTAAGAAACTCTATTACAGGGAAGCTACAAATAATTTTCCCTTCTCTTTCTGTTCCTGTATTTACATAAAAATAGGTTTAACGCAAACTCACGTTTCCACGTGTCCAGCCAGGGTACTAGCTCAATCCTGAGTCTGATGCACTTTGCTCATTCCTAAATTTTGTGCCCTTAGTGGGGTACTTCTAGGGTAAGGTGAATGCTTTGGACAAGGGGTCTTGTTTGCCCTGGATCGCCCTTTGGAGCTGGGCTGCAGCACAGCCAAAGTCCCAGATGTCGAAATACCAGGAGGAAGCTGCAGGATGGTTGGATGGCTCAAGCTAAAATCCCTCTGCCTTCCTGTGAGCTCCCATGCAAAGCTCCAACTTTGTGCTTATGAGCAGTCCTGACCCCCAGGCACCGCATACACACGGCCCCAGCCCAAAAGCTGCTTTACCTGCACTGGCCGAGGAATACTGCATGTTTGCTGCTCCTGCCTCTTCGCACCCATGCAAGCAGCCCTCAGGGAGTGGCCTGCTCGAACGCTGGTAGTGGTGTAACATCGCACGTGTGAAAACCAACACGATCAGTGCAAGGTGCCCGGCTCTGGATGCACAGAGCTGAGCTTGCTCTGCGCACGCGTTCAGCGTCCGGAAATTAGCTAACTCAATCATATTTGCAGGTAGGTCTGGGGGAGCACAGCGATGACCCGGGCAGGCGATGACCACAGCAGCGAGACAACCCAGAGGCTTTTAACTGGGCATGGAGTTGTGCTGCAGTAAGGGGCAGGATTTTCACAGGCTAGCCATGCTTCCAGCTTGTTTTTTAGAGCCATTATCCATCCCCTGTGGTCCCAGCCTGGGCTTTTCATAGCACCGCTGCTTCCGTTGATAGCCTCTTAGGGAGGCTGGTCTGGACCCAGCAGAGCAGTTGCAGGTAGGAGTGCCACTAACCCAAGGAGAACCACCCCCCACTTCCCTTCACCATTTAGCAACTGCCTATGGCCCCAGACCCCAAAGAGCGGGTGCCGGTGAGGCAGGCCTGCCCAGGTCACCGGCCACAACCAAGCCCGAGAAGCAGGATGATCCGGACCTCTTACCTGCGTTAGGCAGAAAGCAAATCTCTCCTGTCCGCCACTGGGAATTCATCCAGTCGCAGGTCCAGAGCACCCAACGCCATCTCCTGGGCTCCCTGCCTGGGCTTTCCACAGCTCCATGCTTCCCTGGACAGGCCTCTGGCCTGCACCACGCTGGGCCTGGCCTGGCACCAGCAGAGCTGCCCTCTGCCCCTCACTCCCAGCCTCCCTGCTGCACCCAGGCCCCTTATTCACAGCACGGATGTAGCAGGGTGGCCACCAAGCCTCACCCATCACCATGCAAATGATAGCCCCACACCTGGGCAGTCCTCCCGTGAGGGGGTTGCAGCAGACCCGTGTCCACTTCTTCGGAGCTACTTTGGGCAGCACTTCAGCTGCCGCATTACAGGGGCTTCTGCATGGACCAGGTGGCTCGCTCCAGACCCAGCATCCCCAGAGGGCTGAAACAGCCTTGTTGAGGGCCAAGCAATGCAGTGGCTCTGCTGCAGCTGGTTCCCACTTTGGGAGCGAGGCTGAAACAGGGTTGCCTACAGGAACTTCCAGGACACCTCGTTTCTGCAGCCTGGCCACAGCCATAGCCGGGAAGCGACCCCACCACAAACAGCTCAGATGGGCTCTGGCAGGCTGCCATCAGTTCTGCCACTGACTTGCTGCCAGGCCTTGGGCCACTCCTTTCACCTTGCCTCACTCAGCACCTTCGTCTGCAGGGAGGGCGCGTGCTCTTCCGCCCGGCAAGATCCCCAGCAGAGATGCACTGTCACAAAAGGCCGAGAGGTGGCTGACCAGGTGGTCATGGGGCCCGCGTGCAGAAAGTGAGGCCAACCCCCTCCCTCGGGTCCTGCCCCTGTAACAAACTGGCACAGGAGTGCTCAAAAATACTGGCAGCATCTACACATCTGCATGGGGTTAGCTCTGAGCTATCACCTCTCCAGGAGACAGGCCTGGAGGCAGCATCTGTTACCCAGGCAACACGATCTGAACGGGTCCCTCAGCTACGGTTGAGTACGACTCAACCTTACGCACGGGGACCCTCGCAGAAGGGGACCGTGGTAAGCACAGTAGCTTGGAGCTACACGGATAGGAGAGACCCATGATTACAATCAGCAGCGAAGCAGGAGGCTGTGGCATAGTTCACCAAGCATAGGCAGGGGCATGGGAACCTGAGATCTATACTTATTTCTACCCTAAGTCACTTCAACTGTGCCTCGGTTTCCCCATTTGTAAAGTGATCCATGGATGGAAAGTGTTATGTAAATGCAGGATGTGATTAAAGCCTCGAGAAAGTGGAATCTGCTCACACAAGGGCTAGCCCCTCTTCTCCTCTGGTAAGGGGCAGCAATTGCTTTAATGGAAGCCAACACGGCAGCTTGATGTCAGTCTACTTCACTGCAACCTGAGCGGGGAATAAGGGTCTGTCTCAGGCCCCTGAAAATACTGCTGTGCTCTGCTATGGGCCTGCTTGTGAGATCTCACACCAGCTTGACCTCAGTCCCACCAGATGCTACCCGCGTTGCCCCTTACACAGGAGCAGGAGTTGACACCTCTGTGCACCTGGCAGGCCTGAGCTCTTAAAACACCAACAAACCGTCAGCACTTAAGCCCAGCAGCTCCTTTGGCCAACATGGAAAAGAAACCACGTCTGGGATGTAGCACGGCAACTGCTTAAAGAGAGATGTTACACAAAGCACACGGGACAAAATTAGTAAAAAGAAAGGAACAGGCAAAGTCCAAGTCAGGAGGCAAAGCACCCTACGTAACGAGAGAGCAGTGCAATGCTTGCAGAAAGGCCCGCAGCAAACAAGCGACATAACTGCTTCCCTGTTCGGTGCTTTAAAACGCTAGACCAGCCTTTCAATTTATCCTCGCCATAAAAAAGAGCGTGCAGGCTCCATCCGCCCTGCTGCTCGCAGCATGCTTGCCTGTGCAGTCTCTCCCACTGCAGCTTGCAGTGGCTGGAGGCAATGCGGTTTTCGGGCCAGCTCTGATGTGGCACTCTGTGCACCACACCCTGCAAGCCCATCCGACCGGAGCGCTGCTTTTGGTATGCGACTCAGTCAGTGTCTGAGCATCCTGCTCTCCAATCTGGCACATGCTGGTTATTTCCAGTGGAATTTTGAACCTTAGCCAGGACCAGAATAGCCCATGAGCACTGCATTTCCAGTCATCCGTTTCTCCCAGCAATTATCCACAGGCGCAGCGTCCATCACAATGACACTTGCTGGATATTCTGTGACACACGCACACCCTCCTTCGCAGGGTGTAAGGGAACAGAATTCCCCTGCCCCTACACACACACACACACACACACACACACGTACGTGCTACATGACTATGACGATGCAGAGGTAAGTGGTATTTCATGAACAGTACTTCCTTGGAAAACACCCCTGTTCTGTAGCAATGAATGGGCATAGGCTGGGGAGCAAGGGGAAAGGGAAAAAAAATGTCTTGGTTAGAAGGCATGCGAGACAAAAGCCAACTCAAGAACAAGACCCAGGCAGAGGCAAACCGTAGAAAACACGAGGCCACACCAGCTGGAGAAGTGGGATCGATTGTCACTTTAATCCACAGACCGCGGCATGCACTGTAAACATGATCGTTAGCCTGGGTTCTTTATCTGTGTTTATTTCTTCTTAAATATAAAAGTTACACATTTGAAATGTTTGCAGGAAGATGTCGCTATTGGGGCTGGGTTAGTGGTAAATATACACTGTAACATCTGGGGATGGCAGGAGAGGCTTGGGGACCGTGGAGCCGGCCGGGTTCAGGTCACGCGGGGGACGTCCCGTGTCTGGCACCCATCCCTACACCTTTCCAAATATGGCTGCTGTCATCCTAGAAACACAGACGCTGGAGACAGCCCTTATTTGGCCTCTGCTTTGCTATTCAGTCAACGCTGTAGCAACCCTCGACTGCAGAAAAAGGAAGTCGCCCTCAGGTCTCTGCTTGCAAGAGGAGGCTGGACCGACCATGAGAACCGCCGTCTTCTATCCCGCTCAGGCATCGGGCTTGCCAAACACAGCGAGCCGTGGTGTGAGCCCTCCACGTGCAACAAAGCACTTGGACTGCTGCTGACAGGGAACTGATACATGATCTTACGGTACATGGGAGAACATTCCCGTGCCCCTTCTCTGTCCAGCTTTGCCTGCACTGGCGCTCTAGGTCACCCCAGTTCTGGCTAGGTCCTTTCATGCACCTACAATTGAGAGAAAAGCAAGCAGGCTGAGGCTTACCCATGGGCGTCCCCCAAGAGCTGGACTTGCCTTCATGCCACGCAGCGTGCCAGTAACGGGATCCTGCTGACTGCGGCTAACCATCAGTTTCCCGGTCACTATTTGCAGAGAGCTGCTCAAGCAAGGATCTCCCAGGGTGCAGCCAGGAAATCCACATGCCCACTTGTGCAATGGCAGGGAGGGCTTGCCTTTTGCAGGGAGCTGGCTTAATGCGCACGGGCAGCTGTGATTTGTTCTGGGCTAGTTCCCAAAGGGTCTTCTTCTCTGGCGTTCGGTGACAAGGCAGGATGTAGAAAACAATGCACACGTAGCGGGGAGGGTGGAACTAATGGAAAACACCAACACGTGCACCTGCGGGGCTGGTTTTAGGACAAGGTGCGTTCCTGCTGAGGTCAGCTGGGTCCTTTCATTCCCCGTCACCTCTTCTCAGCAAGAGCTGCCTCAGACATCACCCCAGAGGGAACGCGACACGCACATGCACGTGTGAGGAGCTGAGCCAACGTACTCTTGAAATGAAAGGACAATTTGAGCGACACTGCCACGCACGCATACAATACTGCTATGAATTGCCTACGCTCTGCTCTGCTCTGCAAAAATAAAGTGGCGTGTTTGGAGCCAGTCAGCAGAGGAGTCTGCACCAAACGCAGGTCCTATTTGCCTTTTCAGACTTTTTTTTTTTTTTTAAATAACTTATTTACAAAGAAAGAAAAAAAATCACTTCCTGCTTCAAAGTTGTTGAACCGTTGAACGATTGCAAAGACTTTACTGTACGTGGCTTCCAGCTGAAATAAGCAGATTAGCTACCTAAGAATGAGCTCTTTAACTGTTTTTCTTTTGAAGTTAAGGGCACAGTTTCCATACTTGTTCTGCTAGTTTTTTCCACCTCAGGAGCTGTCTAGGTCTAGCCAGGATTCATCTGTTGGCCTCTTACTCCTCCATATTCTCTTTACATCAAATGCAGCCACACGCAAAGGATAAATCATGCTGTCCGTCCCTGCTCACTCGCCGCGCTTGTTCTGAATGGCCTTTGGACACGGACACTATAAGACATGATGAGAACCAGCCTGAAAAATTAATCTTGCATCTGGTAGGGTGCCGGGAGAGGGAAGGGGGGGACATTGTATGGTATCTACAGAACAACACACTGGTTTAACCTTAAACCAGTCTAAAACCAGGGTTAGCTGAAGAGGTGCAACACCCTTTGCAAAAACTCTGATTTCACTTGAGCTGGTCAGAAAAGAAAGGTTTTCACAGTTACATTGACAAAATCCACTCAGCCAGGATATTGCAGCATTTGACTCGAGTTGCTTCAACACGCTCCTTCAGTGAAAATGGTGCCAGTCTGGGTGCAGACAAGTCCTGTTTTCTGCTTAGATATATTCATTGAAAACAAAAAGGAAATACACAGTTTAAAAAAAACCCCAACAAAAAACTACCCTTCAACTGAATACTGAGGGGTGTCGTCCCATCTTGGGCCATGCAGATTGTCACTCAAAGCTGCCACAACACAGATCAGGAAAGACTTTGCAATCGGTTTGCAGAAGGAAGTGCTTATAGCTCTGACTTAGACAAATGACAGGTGTAGCAAACACCAAACTGCTAGTGAGAAATAAGTTAAAGGATGCTTGTGGGGAAAATTCCCAGGTAAAACCTCTTAGGATTTATAGCCCTAAGACAGCAAGGTTCTGTTCAAATCCTCTACAACAAAAAAACCCCCAACCCAACCCCCCCCTCCCCCCCACAAAAATACACATGATCACTGTCAAGTGACTTGCACACTGTGGTTCCAGAACAGGGCCTTGTCAGGCCAATTAAAATCTACAACAGACACCTGAAAACACGACCAACACTGTAAACAATTGATGGAGGACAAACGAATGGGAAGGGGGAGGGTCTGACTGGTCAAGCCTAGCTGCATTGGTGATAAGGACACATCCTCCAGAGGCGTGAAGATGGGGAGAGGGGACCAAGGGATTGAATAAGGCACATGGAACAGACTGGGGTTAACGTGGCATGTGAAAGTAAATGTGGACCCTTCCCCCTTCCATGACATGTGGGGGTGTCTGGGCCCCAGTCATTTGGGACTTGGCTAGGCTGGGCAACTTGGCTTTGCCAACTGCAATGAGCTCCTGCAGCTTTTCTACTATCGAGATCACAAAATGCAGCACCAGGGGGTACGAAGAGGGGGACGACAACAAGGCTGGGGGGAAAGGATGATCAGTCTTAGCGTCGAGCTAAAGCCTTTTCCTTTCCACCTCGGCATTAAGGACTCCGGGGAACACACCTGCTAGCCCTTCTGCCAGGGTCTAGGTGCCTTTCTGTGCACTCTGTTCCAGACACAGCTGCCCCAGGCCTCCATTATACCAGCACGTGGAACAACATTATTCACGAGTTGTGGATTTTATGCACGGCATTCTGCACATTTTCTTTTTTCCTTTAAACCCACTGGCATTCAGACATGCATGAAAAAACCTCCAATGGAACCTAAATACTAGTATATACAAATGGCCAGTCTCATATACTACAGTATTTACGGTGCAATAGCCAGTACCATTGCTAAGAGATACACGTCTACAAGACAGTGACCCACAGTACCTTGGCTAGTCATTGCTTCCAGGGATTGGAGGGATTACTGTCATTTAAATAATGAGATTCAAGAGGGGAGCATGCCATGACTGGAGACAGCAGCCCCCTTCCCCATGTCTTCAGTGCCTCTGCTGTGTCTGTGGAGGCGGCCTTCCCTCCATCAGGAAGGCCGGGGAGATCTGGGGCACTTAGATTTGCCAGCCCCTGTAAACACAAGCGAGCTCTTTCAAACTGGCACTCCTCTGGGGCAGAGGGGGAGGCTCTCTTCACCTGCCCCTGCCCCTAGGGAAAACGTGATTGGAGATGGCACTGCACAGGAGAGCTGGATGGGAAGGCAGCGAGCATTCCCGGTTCATGCCGGCTGCTGAATCGAGATCAGCAGACAAGGTGCTGGCGGACGCTGAGCTGCCCCTCCCTGCATTTGCAGACTGGAGCTGGAAAAACGTGCTTACAGAGATTCTCCTTCCCAGGCTCTCTCTTCCCCGGTTTAAAGCTGATTCATGGCACAGAGGGACAAGGGGTGGAAGAAGGAGAGTGAAATGAGCTCTGGGGCCTCTGGGCTTCTGCTGTCTAACGAAAGATGGCATCCATACACATTCCCAGCTCTTCCGTTGAGCGACCCCAGCCTTCACAGGCCCAGAAAAGCCAGCAGCTGCTGTCAACTGGGAGGGAGAGTGCGACATCCAGTAACAGGTACGAGTTTGTTGCTCTGGTCTCAGAGCTGCCCTCTGTGCAGCAGTGCTCACTCACACGTTCTCCTCCTCCTAGGTCTTCTCTTCCCTGTCTGTTTTTCGCCTTGTTATATTCCGAGGCTTGATTTTCAGAGACAGTTCCCACAAGGCCTCCTCGGCCAGATGGTCACTGAAATCGTTGAAGAATGAGACTATGTCGTCATTTCTTTTGATGTCATAATGTCTGAAAAACCAGAGAGAACACTGCAGTTAATGTGATGACTGCAACACGCTGGGAGCCAGCCTCATCCTTGGCGAACCCCTGACTGCTCTGGAAGACGCTCAATGTTCTAGTTCTACCATCTGTACAACAGGGTCGACTGCTTAAGGTAACAATGCACTGGTCAAGGAGAGGCAAATGCAGTGTTGATCTTTGAAAAGGGAACAAAACACCAGCCTGGCAACTAGCATGGACCAATTATAATGGCAATCGCTAGCAGGACACAGCATGAAAGAGAAAAACTATGAAGACTGAAAGAAGCACCAGCAACAAACGAGGCTGGAGAAGAAATAAGCTGAACTTCACAAAAGGACCAGTGGACACCTTGTTTCATGGGAAGCTTAAAAACACGGCTGGAAAATGCTTTGGTGTGCATGCTGCCAGGATTACGTCTGAACCCAAAAGGGACAGGGACTGGATCCAACTTCAGACCCAGCTTTCTGCTGTCTCCAGGATTTGGGTATTCTACGCTGTCCCCTCCTGACTTCACGACACTCCTTTCTTAACTGGGTTCCTTCTTTGTTCCAGCACCAGAGTATGATCTGTGCCCCCCGTGCCCTCTCTCATCTCCTAGGGTATCAGAGCAAACAGTCCCAAGTCAGATTTGACTCCCTCCTCAGAGAGACAAACAGCCAACTGCACTTACACTTGCTGGAAGCACCTCATGCTGTCCAGAATGTTAAACTGCTGCCAGCGTTTGGAGAAGTTCACTTTGCCATCGATGTAGTCTGGGTTCCCCAGATGAACAAAAGTCAGGTCCTGGAGAATGAGACCACTGGAAGAGAGATGGGGGACAACAGGCAGGGAAAAGGGAGACAAGTCAAGAGCTTCAGGTTAGTCACAATGACTGAAAGACAACCAGAAACCCCTTCCACTGCTCAGTGTTGCAGCAAAGTTTAGGTCCAGGGTTCTTAACCAAACACAGCCATTCCTTTCCTAGACCTCAAAAGTTCTTGTTGCCATGTTCACATTTGGGACATCCTAGAGAGGAAGCACCGGCACTTACATCAACGGCACGGGGGGTTGGGCTCTGCACCAGAGGAAACTTATCTCCCTGCAGCTGAAAGTGAGGACAAGACACAGGGGAGTTTCCACTGACATAATTCCCAGCAAGAACAGGGTATGGCGGCTTCAGTTTCCCTGCACTGTTGTGCAATGCGGGGGATGAGCTCTACTTCTGAGAACGTGGCTGGCAAAAGCTCCCTAGGGGAGGCACAGGATCTGTATGATTTCCATTGCCCTTCTGCACTGGCTTGCCTGCTGACAGTCCTGAATGGATGGGAAGCTGTAGCTAATTCTGTGTTTCTGCTGCCTCATCCAATCAACTTTGCACATAGGTAATTGGTGCTAGGGCAGATTTATTTTAGTTTTACTAAGAGACCCAGAGAGAATCTGACATCTAGATTACAGGACGTTTACAGTGAAGGGAAAGGCCTTGAACACTTCATTTGAGCATAGACAGTGAGGATGTGTGTTTGCAAAGTCCTAGTTTACCAGCACTTACAGTTTGCTGAGCCAGGTGTGTCACAGCCGGCTCTGAATCAGCTCTGACTGATGATTCACTGCAGGTCAAAATCCAGTAGCTTCAGACTTCTCAGAGGGAAACTTCTCTATTTCTACTCACAGTTCTAGGAAGGGATTCTAGTTGACTGGCTTGTACCAAAGGTCCAGATACCTCAATCTCTACTCTGCTGTCCCTGATTCACCTCTGTGTCAGTGTCCCCGGGTGTGAACTTCCTGAAGGGTGGTGGGTTATGGTACACTGTACTGAGGGATCAGGCTAGAGAAATCCCAAGTCGAGTTATTCTGTGAACGTGCAGGAAGACTGGGCATTCTGCCATTTCCGGCAAAGGGATGAGCTGCTCCAGTATCAGCACGTATGCTTCTCAGTGCCAACAGAAATCCAGAGCTCACAGGACCCAAGAACAGAAGCACTTGAAGGAATCCTCCTCGGGGGATAAGCATTTGGGAAAGCAATTAGGGGAATGAGGACTTAACGATTTCAACTTCCAGCACTCACAAGGTTTGAAAGCAACTACAGGACTTCTAGATATGACTGTACTTCAAGTCAAGCACACCTTGAACTGCTGCTACTCACAGGTATGGTATACAGGGAGGCTCCACCTCTGCCAGAGCTGCTCGGTAGGCACGGAAGGATGAAGAGCTGTCGATCAGTGTACAGTACTCAGCCAGGCCCTAGGGAAACACAAAGCACACGCTGGTACTGCTGCTACCCTCTCTGCACCTGGGTGTGTGGAAATCCCATCCGCAGAGACCAAAGCCAACTGGGACGCAGCAAATTCTGCCAAAAGGTTGAATTTACCAGGGCCTGTGCTTAGCTAGGCAGACAGAAAGCCACGCACTTTGAACATTATCATGCCTTCACCATGCATAGACATAGGGTCCTAGCCTGTAACAGTACTGGCCTGCATGCAGTTTTCAAAGTAGGATGCTGAAGGAAAATGCAAATTAACAGCTTTTTATGAGAGAGACTTTATCATTACACTTTATCGACTGCACTCAGGTTTGAGTTACTAAAACCTAACAAACAATTTTACGCCATAACTGCATTCATCTTTCGCTCTTAAACACAAGAACTCCTGTGCTTCTCACCTCTGAGGTCTGCTTCTGCCACTCCAGCCGTCGGATGGGTGCCGAATCCAGTGCAGAAAGAATGGCCAGGTAGGAGTTAAAATTATTCAGCTTCCTTAAGTGCTGAGAAGAGGGAGAACATCAATGAGCGAAGCGTTGTGAGGCTTTCTGGCAACAAGCAGTGCTACACCTAACCATGTCCCACACTGCTATTTCCATCCTGCATGACATGCAGAAAACAGCCCGCATCAAGCAGTTACCTTCATAATCTTGATAAATTTAAGGAGCAGCCTCTCTCTGTCTTGCGCTTTCTCCTGGAGCATAATGATTGAACGGACCCTGGGAGGACAAACGAAACAAAATGGTAACAGGGATTAAACCACTCGGGCTGGGTTATGATCTGACGGTTCCTGCTGCTTCTCCTGAAAAGCTGGTAGCTAACAAGCACTGATCGATGATGCTGAGAAGTGCCCGGTGCTTCCCTGTCATGTTTCTTCTCTGTACGGCTTAATCAAATGCTTTAATGCACAGACCTTCCAGAATTCCCTAACGTGAGAGCTGCCTACAAGGGTGCACTGCTGTCCCACAGAAAGTAAGGCTACTGGCCACAGGGGATGTTACTGGGCAGGTGTCTCCTTTGCTGCTGTTGAAGTGGACTGGCAGCAGCAGAATTTCACTGAATCACCCATGTTCTGGATGTGCTTAACTCCTTAATGGATTTAGCCATGCCAGTCCCCATGGCTTGGATTTTCATACAAGCCACAGCATTAGCTGACAGATCAGTTCTCTCAAGAGGCCTGTTTTCAGACTGTTTATATGGAATAGCGCCTGCATTTCTATACAGAGCTCAGTTCCATGCAAAAGGGATGTGTGTGTACTCAGGTACATGAGGTGGTGCTTGAAGGGTCTCTGTGATATCAGCCATAAATCTGGGAGATGCAGCAGTTTCCACAAATGTTTGTGTTCCTGCTATTCATGAGTTGTTTGCAGAGTGGTCCATCATCCATTCAAGGAGGAAATAAAACTGGGTAAGAAAAGATACATCTTGCTATGGCCACACAAACCCACTAAGACAGTCACAAGGGAGACTGCCTCACAGAGAGTTTTCTTGGACTCTAGGGGCACTAGTGATGAAATGTTACAGAGGTGCCATTACTGTAATCTCCTTACCAGTAGGACATGTTATTAAAGTGCTCAGTGAACTGTGTCAGGTTGGGACTCTTCTCTTCATTTTGCTCTTTTGCCCAAAGCAAAACTTCTGGGATCTGGGAAAGGAAGGGAGAGGAACACATCATGCATTACAACAAGATGTCTCCTTGTGGATTCCTGTGTCACACCCCTGAGTTACAGCTCTCCCCTGACACAAACCCAGCTGTCTTCTACAAGGATGACAGGTGTATATGCAAGGGCTGTCAGAAAACAAAACCAGAGCTTGCAAACAGCTTTTGTTAGAACCTCTCCCACTGCCCCAATCCCTCCTCTGTACCTCTATTTTATAGAAGAGCTCGGCATCCAGGAGAGTCAGCTGCTCAGCTATTTCGTGACTATGGAAATCATGCAGGGTTCCTGGCCTGTGGAAGACAACGAGTGAAAGGTAACAACTAATGAAACCCTGATTCACCTTGGATCCTTTATATCATTTGCTTTAGTGAGCTTTCATCCCTCTCAAGGAAGTCAATGGAACAGAGAGAAATCAAGTGTGAGAGTGACCAGACCTCCGCCGTGTTAAACCACCTGCACATCAGTGTGTCCCCAAAAACAGCCACATTTCCACACTAGACTTTTTAAAAAAGACCATCCCTGCAGAGGAGAGGAGCACATACTCTCCTGAGCGCACACAGCCAGTGGCATGACTTCCCTATCAACAGCAGGTTTCCATGCCATCATATTTACCACACCCTTTCCACTTCCCTTTATCCTGCAGCTGTAAAATCTCAGGACCCCTGTCCTCTCAGGAAATTCTGCATGCAAGTCCTCCTGCTCCTCAGACAGAGCCAAGAACATGCTGCTTGCTCCTCTCCTCAGCTACAAAGAGCCGGACAAATTTTGCTCTCCAGCATTTGGAGCTGGGAGACCATTTACATGATGCCACAGGGCCTGAAATTCAACATGACAGGTCCCTGCCTGGGTCATGGCAGATGTGTGAAACATCCCCCTGCCTGAGGCAGCCAGTGGGCCTGTTGCATTTTGGCCTCCTAGGCTTTGCTGCAAGAACTTGCAATATGCCACACTCATGCCTCCTTCCATCCGTCTGAGAATTCTGACTTGTGCCCTCTCCCCTTGCACAGCCGAAGAAGGACAGACACATTCCTCTTCATTCGCTGAAGGCTCAGGTTATTTCACCGCCATACAGGCAGTGTTCACATAGCTCCTGACCAGGGGCTCAATCTTTGAGTGCAGGGAGGCATATTCAATGCATGCCCAGGAAACCAAGACTGGATGGAAAGAGTACACATGTATGACGGCATGGGCAGGCACAGGTAGGTGAAGAATGGTCACTGCGCTGAAATGAGGAGCAACACTCCTGTTGCTCCTGTTCAGAGCATGACATTGACTTTTCCCTGTCCTACGTGCAGCACAAGGACAGTCACCCCTCAGAGAGGGCTGCAATGGGACTCAAACACTCTCTCACCTGGCAGCCACCCCTCGGGCCGCGAGGGGTTTGATGGAGTTGGCGTATCTCAGCATTTTCTTCTGGTCGACCTTGTCCAGAATATTTTTCCGTAACACCCTAGCGAGGCTGAGCTCCCCGTTGCAGACTAACCGGAACACCAGTTCCATCAGCAGCTTCAGAATCTCTTCTGTCAACTCCACTAAACTGAGAAAGATGGGAAATGCAGGGGGTGGGTCAGACACAGGGCACTGCAGACAACAGTCCTCTTACCTACCTGCCGTAATAAATGCTTGCTACCTTTCACCAATGGGAAAAATCAGAAATCTGCATTGACGTTTAAGAATGACATGATCAACGCCTGCTATGCCCCCCAAAATGCACTCCTTATAATAGCTTGGTTTGTCCATTCAGCATGCTAAGCTTCCCCACACTCACAGCTCTGAGAAGCTGTTTCTGACATATTTTCACTGGCAGGCTAGACATGTTGTCCACCTTCACTCATGATACTGCTATATGAACCAGACTCCTTTTGGAGACTGGAGCTCCTACAGCTCACCTGCTGGGCATTGCTCAGTGGCCTCTCATGATGTACAACCTGCTTCACCTCACCTTTCTCTCCCCTGCCCCAGTCTCCCCACAAGGGACCAAAGTCCTGAGTCAGCATCAAATCTAGGACGCTTGCATGGCAGCAAAATAAGCCCTCAGCTAAGGCAGAGAGAGGTGTTCTTAAAAATCTCTCCCTTGGACTCTGGCCTACAAGGCTATTAGCTCAGTACAGTGTCCAACAGCTTTGCCCACAAGCAGAACGGAACCCGTCACACACTCCTCCTCTTGTCAGCTCTTCCTCCTTTAAAATATATCTGTTTTATTGCTTATTTTTAAGTCAGAAAGAGACACTGAGAAAACACCTTGACACATCAAAGGCCCAGTGAAGGTGCCCCATGGCCAGCACAGATCTGGGGAAGGCCACTTCAGGTCTCCCACCACAGATCTGGTATACATGATGTGGCATGTAGAAGTGGCGCAGCTCTATTCCTGCTACCTCCCTCAACCACCCCAAAACAAAGCAAGAGGGATGCTCACCACAGCTCATCCACCACTCGCACCAGCACGAAGAACGTGTTCTTGCTGACGCGCTTCTTAAACGTGTCCGGGAAGTGACAGAATTTCTCATATGTCAGTCACGAGTTAAAGAATAAACTCAGTAGAGCCAGGGCCGTTGGTGGCACCTTTGACATGTGCCCTGATGCACGTCCCCAAAGGAGCATTATGATCTGCCACTACTGAGGACAGAGTTCAATTTCTGAGAATGAAACACTTACAAGGCGCTGTACCGAGTAATACAGGCTGCAAACATGAGAAAGGGTCTTGTGGATGCAGTAATAGATGGCAGAGATGATGTGCCCTGGAACCGTTACCTCTAAGGTGACAATTAAATAAGCTGTCAGAGTGCTAGCACTGTCACAGCCCTTCAGCTAACTGCAGCATCTGGTCTCACTTGTAACAGCAGCTCTCAAGTTCCGATCCTTGTCTCATTCCCTCAGCAGGCAGCACTTCCATTAAATATGCACTCACTCCATCAGTTGTTAAGGATAACGGATGTGGTCTGGAGACCTCCTAGTTTGCAGCTTGAAGAACGATGGCTGTAGTGATTACTACTAGGGAAATACCTCGAGGGCCAGCATGGGTCGAGAAGACTTGCAACATGCAAGGATGCGACAAGGATCTAAACATAAACTACTTAAAGCAGATAGAGGGAGAGATATGGAGCCCAGAACTCCAAGCTCTGGCTACCTATGCCCAGCACTTCCCCAGAGTGGGTATTTTCACTGCTGACTACAGCATAAGGAAAGGTTTTCTGTGTCCAATTAACAGTAATCACAGCAGGAGCAGAGGGAGTATCGTCTCTGCTGCAGATGGCAGCAATGAGCCGCAACTCCAGGAAGCTCGACAGGCTGCCTGGATGCGCAGCTACAAGACGGAAACCCGCAAGGCGTTTTCACTGCCTCTGTTGAAAAGTGTCGCAGCTTGGAGCTGGTGGCAAAGACAGAAGCTATGGGAAAGGAGCCAAGGGAAGGGAATTCTAGTCTTCAGTGCTCAACAGGGAACACCCTGTGGACATGGCTGCAAACATGACTGCCGGCCTACCTTCTAGTAGGTAAAGGGCCATAGACACAATACCCGGAATCAGCCTCACATCTTGGAACTAGAACACAAAGGGGACGTTCTCTTGCATTCTGCCCTTCTTGGTAGTGAGAGAGTGGTGGAAATAGTGACAGGCCTGAGCAATCCTCCTTAGAGCTGCTCACAGAGGTCCAACGAACCCTCGCGACATCTCTAGGAAGGCAAGTCATTGTTGTGGTTACATTCCACGGGATGGGAGCCGAGGCACAGATGGTGACTGATGAGCTCAAAATGATGCAGCGACTCAGAGCTAGGATCAGAACCCCACTCTGAGCCCAGCTCCAGTGAATGATAAACCACTTGGCCTTGATTTACAACCACAGGCTTGTGGAAGGCAGAGGTGAAGAAATAAGGCTTTAAATAAGGAGACAACAGGCTGCATACCACCCACAGGGGTGACTATCTGACACACTGCCTTGCCAGCATGGCTCTGATTAAGTCTTGCCCCACCCTTCTCTTTGAAGTGTCAGGCACACTGCTCCCAACTCAGGAGGAGTCAGGAGCATCCCACATTTGAAAGGATATCTGTACTGGAGCTTCTTGATGAGCTCTTCAGGGGTAATGAATGTCCTGTAGGTTGTCAAAAAGGCTTCACAGTACAGCACCAGATCTGAAGAGAAAGACAATAACACCTCAGTCAACTCTGGGTTCAGAAGGGAGCATTCTCTGTCGTGAACCCAGCATCCTTATCAAGGGGAAATAAATAGGTAACGAGTAGGAAAATTTCTATAAAAGCAAATTGATACCCAGCTTTGTGGGAACACTGTTTTCTTATTTCTTACCAGCAGGGGAATTTTAACACCTAACAGCAATTCAATTCCCTCTACCTGCTTGCTCTGACTCCCAACTGTGATGCTGGGAGCCTGGTTTTAAATTATCATCTTAAGGGTCTGTAATAACAAGGATTGTGAACACTGCTCTGCAGACTGGTGATACTTTAAAGAAAAGAGTTGCTTACTGGCTGTACTGTACTCACTACTTATAAGTGCAGCATGCAGAAAGATGGACTATTTCCAACAAGAGAGGGAGTTCCCATCACTGCCAACACTGGCTAAAGGGTGTCAGAGACTAATCCTTAGGATGCACTGGCAGGTCACCAAGGGCACTGGCCACAAAGGACCACCACAGCAGCTTTGTCCATGCTCCTGGGAGCAGGACAGGAAAGCTGAAGGTTGTTGGAGATGCTGGAAAAGCAGATAAAAGAAAAACGGTCAGGAAAGGTATCCAGAAACGAGGGTGAGAAACTGATCTGCAAAGTGTGGACTGTGATGTCGTTTCATTTGGCAGGGGCAAGAAGCGGGGAGGGAAAAAGATTTGACAGTGAGCCCAGTGAATAGTCCTTCCTTCTTTAAACATGGGCAAAATGAGTTGGATGGTCTCAGCCAAAACCACCACACTAGCCTCACTAATGTCTTTGGATTCACAGTGACTGCGACAGGAAAAAGAGGTTTCAGGTAAGAACTGACATAGGCTGGCAGAGCCGTTTTTGGTCTGGGGGGCAAGACTGGTTCCTGCGGGTTAGCAGAGCTGTGCGGGGAGACTTCCACAGCATCCGCCCACACTACACAAATGCAGGCTATGCCTCAAGACAGAAACTTCAGCCCCAGTTACCTGTTCGTGTGAATAACCTCAATACGTTTGGACCAGGGGGAATGAAGTACAACAATCGGGTTTTTCTGTCGGCAGTGTGTCACTTGGCAGAAGTCTCACGCAGACAACTCCAAAGAGCTGCTGCTAAAACAGAGGAAAGCCACTGTCTTTTAGTTAAAGATGATCAGATGTAAACTCTAAAGCAGGGCAGATGGGTACATATATCAGAGGTGAGCAGTGTACCTTGTTTGGCTATAATCCTCCCTGTGCAGCAAGCCTGCACTTAGCTGGCGGCAGACTGCACTCCAAAAGACCATGAGAGTCCTCTCATCCCTTATTCCACTTTGCTCTGGTACTGACACCCAAACAGATGAGGAGCATTGTTCCCTAGGGCAAGGCACTGTATTCATCCTGGGTCCTCCTCTGCCCAAGAGGCAAAGGGAGGGAATACAGCTGAGTCTGCTCTGGCACTCAGGCTGGCCAAGAAATTTATATTTAAAGGAAAGCCTCTTAAACATCCCCCCTCTGTGCAGCTGGGCCGATTGATCTGCAAGCCCTGAATTCTTCTCATTGCAAGCTTAAGTCGTTAACTCTTTCCATCTCCCAAACACAAGGGTGGCATAGCACAAATTTCTCTCTGCCACCAGCTTGGCACAGCACAGGGGGGTGAGGTTTGATGTACAATAAACAGACTGCACGCATCTGTCCTTTCCCCACACTTGAGACAACTCCTATTAGGAGATGATGTTGCTGCCTACTTTTATCATGTGCTAGTTTGTGTCTTATCAGGCTCCCTGAAGCCCTCACCAATGCATGCGATTCCTTTAGGTTTCTTCATTTTCACCTCCTAGATGCATCCCTCTAGAAATTAACTCTCTGAAAAATGGAAATGCTGTGAAAGAGTCTCTAGCTCCAAGGAAGAGCAGGGCTAAGATGGAGCTCATAAGCAATCCATTCCACTTTCTCCTTGTTTTCCTCTGCTCTACAAAAGAAGGGGAATGTTTCTAGAGGGAGAAGGATCACTACACTTGTTGCCAAATGCCTACTGGTATAGTAGAGAAAAGAGGTCCATTCAAAATGGACAAGGATTAAGACTTTTGGTAGAAGGGCTGAGCAGTCCACTGGGTTGATGCATTGGCTAGACAACCAGTTGATTGAGACCATCAACAAAAGAGCATTTAGATGTCATCTTCAGCAGCGCTGAAAAGTGTACTCTAGTTACAGATCTGGAAGAAGTGTTGCCCTCTGTGTGGCTGGGCTGGGATTGGAGAATTAATTAATGAACCATTATAATTTGTGTAGCAAACAGGATGGTTAAGGCTTAATCTCTCGAATCTTTTCATACAGGACCACGGGTATGCAGTTCTAGGAAACCTGAATAAAGAGAAGAAAGTCTCCCTCCAGCCCGCTGCTCTTTTGCGTGACAAAGAACTGTTGCGTGGGAAGGGGCTGGCAGTGCCAGAGCCTCAGGGCTGGAACAGGAAGTGGTGCTGCAGGTCGAAACTGGATTGCACCAGGCAAATGGTACAGGGAAGCGTTGCCCAGTGCCCACACACTCTGTGCCTGGCTCACCCCAGTGACACCACTTCCTTTACTTCCCACTACTAAATTCACTCCATCCCAACGTAGAACTGAAGGCAACGGCATAAGACAGTGCATGCTAGACTCTGAAAATTCAGTCCATGGAGCACTGTGCTCTCCATAACAATTATTCTTCTCCAGCCCAATGGGATTCCTTGGCAGGCAGAGAGAGATGCCATGGGAAGGCAGGCACTAGCTGTATCACCAGGCTTTGCCCTACAGTTTTTGTCTCTGGGCACAGAAGGGTTAAAAACCTCACTGCTGTGGAATTGAATGTACAAGAGCTTATCCGGCTTATCTCTTTCTCAAAGATAAGCATAATCCCCTTTGCAATAAGGCACATTAAGGCAGTGCTCTGTCTTGTCCACATCTGCATATAATGACATAACGTGACAGTTTATATGCTGCCAAACTTCACCGGGTTCCCAGAAGAGTGCCACACCAGGCTGCCCACACCCCTCAGCTTACACCAATCCACACACAGTACCTTTCCGGTCGGTCTCAGTTGCATGTACTAGCAAGATATCCCCGGACCCCCCACGAACATCTGGCCCATCGTCGCCCTGCAATGAGAGTAGACACAAGTTATAGCTTAGGCTCCTTTCAGTACAGCCCAATTCCTTCGTACCTAAAATGCAGCACTAACTAGTATGGTCCACCTCACTCTGCAGAGAATGAGCTGAGACACAGGTTCATGAATCAGACCCATCCTGGGACCAAGTGGGAGAGCTCTGTTGCCCATACGGAGGAACCTAAACCTGACTTTGGACCACGCTGTAAAGGCACAAGGAGCAGAGATGCTGACAACCATTCCAGAGATCACGAAAGGGGCAGCAACAGACTGTAACACGTTAACACAGACCTTATAGTTTCATCACCTTGCTGGTTATAGGATGAAGGCTGCACATTCAGCCTTAGTTCTGGCATTTCCAACTCTGGAACATTTAATTGCAAGTCTTTATTAACAGTTTGGCAAGTTGAGCTTCCCAAGGCTTCCCCCCCCACCTTTCTTTTTAGGGTGGAGAAAGGAAGGAAACTCAGAAGGTGCTTCAGTATCTGTAATTTTGAAACTCAGCTGGCTCAAAAAAACCCACAAATGGAGTGTGTCAAATTTAATTTTCTGGAACTATTTGGCCAAGTGTTGCTATTATTGATCAAATCTAGAGGCCAGGAATAGAACCCAAGAATCTGAGCTAGCAAGTGTCGTGTCCCCCCCCCACCATATCCTGGACCTTTCATCATTATAGCAAAGCATCCTCTCCCTATATTATAAATTCAGGGCACAGCATGCTACTGAAACATGTGAAACTACACTATTTTTTAGAGTTTTCCACCCTTCAGGTATAATATCCCTGCAAAGAGAGACTAGAATAGTGCCTAGCTCCTTGCAGTATTTCTCTGGTATGCAAACTTGTGATTTTTCAGGTGAACTGTTGGCAAGGCCCACAAAGTACCACTTAAAGAATGAATGATAGCTTCTAGCTCTCTCCTGCTGACCTCAGTTCTTCAAAGAGCACTCCTATAAGTTCCAGTAAATGATATATTGTCTCCATTTTCCAGACTGGCCCCTTGATAGTCTGAAAGCTTCAAAGACCTTGTGTGTTCCTTCAAGCTCTGTCAGAGACAGCTTGGGCTGGAATATCAGCAAGTGAGCAAAGAGGTCTGGAAGTGCACAGAGGGTCAGATAGAGCCATTTCTCAAATGTAGGGACAGCCACTTTGCTGAACAGCTCGCTCACACTTTTGAGGCCTTTTAGACATTTTGAATCTGAAAGCGTTCCTGGAACAGCATTCCCCATCCTTCAAGTTTGAAAGGCAGCAGCTATAATCTGTGCTCAGTTTCTCATACTGAGACTCTCAGCTATCACAGGTGAGATGCTGCAGCATGCTGGTGGTGGAGAGTATGAGGACAGGGGAGTCTTAAGAGAGAGAGTGCCCAGGCTTTAATAAACTCTTGGTTCAACAATCTTCCATTTTTGTGCTGGGGTCTCATCTGCTTTCAGGACAATTTATGCACCTGAAGCTGCATGCAGCTGCTCTGTAACTCCATTTTCTTATTAGCTCGTACACAGGCTGCTCATTTGATTCTCTGTCTCTGCACTCATGGTCGATCAGGCTTTATCAAAGCACAAACTGAGAAGCATGAAAGTGACTCTTCGAGGCACGTACCTCCTGCTTCAGTGTTAGCCTTGCCATAATTTCATTGTGGTCAATCAGGGACAGCTCATCTACCTCCTCCTCCAACTCTGACGATTCCAAGGCATCTGGTGACATCTGCTGCCTGGAAGACAAGCAAGCAGCCATCAGTGTCCTGCCCCACACAAGCAGGAAAGCAGACAGTGTTTAGGCCTTTGCTACAAAGATCAGAGGATGGGGCAAGTCTGAGACTCCCAAAGGCAGGGGTACCCTCTACAACTGAACCCAAGTGTCTAGGTCTAAGGCCGTTGCTTTGTGCACCCCTAGGAAAGGAGACAGGATTGAGATGAACCGTTCAGGAACTGAATGCTTATCTGGCTGCATTCCTGGCTAACAGGATTTTGCTGCATGAAGCATGAATGCACCTTTCAGCGTCTCCTCATATTGTTTGCTCACTCATGTACGGCACAAGAACCGTGAAGCTAAGTGATTCTGCCAACTTAGGGATGCTGGAGAAGAAATTCTGCATGACTGGAGCCCCTCCTTGGATGGTTTCTAAGTGCAGTGGCCAAGGCCCTCATCTCTTCTTTTCATTGCACACTGTAGGCTTTACCCCCGCCCAGGTGCTATGTATCTCTGGTGCGTGGAAGGGGCCAAAGGGGACATTCTTGGGTCCTGGCACCCCTCCTCTCAAACAGCTAGGACTGGACACTGTCAGTGTTGGACTAAGGAACTAGATGGACTAGCAACTAGCATGGCAGCCCTTGGGCTTGCTGAGTTAGTTAAATTGCCCAGCACTGCTTGTATTCTCTTCAGATAGCGCTGCGTTCCCCTTAATCTCAAGTAACTTAACGGGCCAACAGCCATGACGGTGTGTAGCCTGCTGGAGGTAAAACATGAAATAACATAGGACTAGTTTGGGAGTGGCAAGGGTAAAAATCACACTGTGGATGCTCTGCTGTCTTGCAGAGCAGGGGGAGCCCTACATGAAGGTCAAGCCCACCTCTCACCACCGTCTCGGCTTTCCTTCCCAGTGGCACTGCTATTTGAAGTGGAGTCTTTGGAGTGGCCGTCTTTGACAGCAGGAGATTCCTGGGAAGAGAAAGAAACCTTTGATCACTACATAGGATCCCTGCGCTGCAGCCGGTCTCGCACTCACAGCCTTGCTGCCTCTACAAAGCCCTTTATTGTCAATTCCTATGGAGCGATTAGAAGGTGATGCGAGTCAATGCCATGGGCCAGGACCGAGTGGAACTTAATTAGGCAGGAAATTTGGAAGCATCTCTGGAGACTTCAATGTAATTATTATTGTTTGCTTTTGAGGCCGTGAAATGATGCTGAACGTTATAATGCACAAGTCAGCTGTCAGCATGCATCTTACACAAACCTTCCCTCAACCTTTTTAATCAGCCCTTGCTGTTGAAATGCACTTGCCTTCTGTTGAGCTATGTGTATTCTACACCAGCTCTAAACGTCCCTATTCAAGTCCAGTTCCCCTAATTCCTCCCCGCATACAGCCCGCAATGAAGTCCAGCCTGTCAGAGTATGTGGTTTTAATAATGGCCTCCCCTTCCCCACCTCTTTTCTCTCCGAGGAGTTTAGACAGTGACACAATGCTTCCACGTTGTGATGCACTGCTGTGGAAATGATGCTAATCTAAGAAAGCAGAACAATCTGAACATTCGGCATGTAACAGCAGGTAGAGAGTTCAAAGGAAGAAAAAAAACCCAAAAAAACACAGCATCTTACATTAGCCATTTATTAAGGAGGAAAACGACCATGAATGACAAATGAGAGTATTAACCCTACAGTGCTGTAGATTATTGCTATTTAAAACCCTTCCAAGTGATCTTTGGATGTTCAACGCGCCAAACCTAGAGAACTCATGCCACCTTTCTACAATTCAGATTCAGCCTTGAAAATGTACCACTGAGTCTGGCCTTTTGAAGTACCTACAGCATTTTGCTGAGCTATGTGCAGTGAAAAATGCTGTCAAGTCCTTGATTTTCAAAGGTAAAAGCTAACTTAACTATATACAAGAGCAGAAAATACCCGGATCTATCTACTGAAGAGACCAGAGGGGAGCCCCATCTCTTGGGGCATATAGAAGCCAACTGGTAAAAGCACTCACAGGCACCTGCCCACTGCAGGAAATGGCTAACATATGCTCTGTGCCGAGGAGGAGGGAACAACCTGTGTCTATAAGGATTAATATGGGATGCCCAAGGTGACAGCACTTTATAAACACAAGGCTTGATTAAAAAAAAAAAAAATAAAATAAAGCCAACGCAGTTATAAATAGAAGCACCTAACTAGCACTGATAAGGCTGCTGCACGGCTCCCAGCTTGTAGCTTTCTAGAAAAAGAAACTCTCCTGCAAGAAGCTCTAGACAAACAGCAAAGCATATGGAAGCAGCTCGGAAAGAAATGCAGCCCGTGTTCTTAACATGTTCACTACAACCTCCATAGCCAAGCAAGTGCCATCCACTGCTCATCCAAATCAAGACTCCACTGCAGACAGAAATCCAAGGATGGGCAAGCAGCAAAGGGGTCTGTTCACCGAAAGAAACGTGGAACCTCTACAATATGCAGGAAAGGCTCATGAGCATGTTGCCCCCGGTGTGAATCGCATGCACTGAGCAGCCCCTTCCCAGTGTTTGGCCTTCTCCAGGTTACTTACTCCTTCAGAGAGAGGGAGTTCCCCGTTGCTTTGGCCAGAGGAATACAGATTGACGTATTCACCCTCACCAGCATCCTCACTGGCGTTTTCACTCTATGGGAAACAGGACGAAAGGAAATAGGTGACCGTGCCCCGTGCCCAGCACTCAGCGTTAGAAACGTGTGCAAGTGAACAAGCCTGGCCAAGGCCCGGAATGGAGGATCTGTCAGCACCTGCTGCAACCTGACTGGGAACCTTGGCTTGGATGGGAGGCTGCTACCACTGTCCATTGGCTCTGTGTTTTCACTGAGATAATTATTTTCCAATTCATGAAGACTAATCAGAAGACCCTGAGCAGAACAGCACAGCCAACTGCTTTCTGATGGCTAGCCGTAGGCTCAAAGTGATACTGCAACATAGCAAAACACAAATGCAGACTTCAGAGTTACAGATGCTGAATCCTTAAAGCTTCAAACAAAAAATCCCAACTGTGCCACAGCAGAAGCCTAGCTACCATGATCTACAGCCCAGCCACAGTCAACGTGGCTAAGTCTTGTAGTAAAAAGGAGACTGCACTGTGCTCCCAAACCAGGCTACGCAACTTGGAAACATCATTACAGACACAGGTGAGACCCTACCTACAATACGAGACTGAATCAGACTGGAGGCTACTGTACTGGAATAGCGTCCTGCCACCACTAGACTAATGAAGCAGAACCTGAAAACTGGTTTCGCGATGACTTGACAATCGCTGAATTAAGGAACGTGTCCCCTGCTCCAAACAGTTGAGCGCTCCTTGCGGGCACTGTGTTGACTGTTTTGACTTCATCAGTTTTGGGGGCAGGAAATACAGAATCCTTGAATTCTGGTCTTCCCAGGCCTGCGAAGGAGGAACCACTCTGCAAATAATTAGCTCAAAAGTGCAGCGAACCTGCACATTCAACAGATTTAGGAACTAAAAACTCGTGACACCCACCCTGTCTGGGCAGCTGTATCAGCTTATTGGACTAGTATCTCTGAATGAGCTAAGCAGTTCTGCATGCCGACACGTCTCCTTCAACAGCAAGCCCTCTCGCCAGCAGCGGACCTCAGGCATCTTGCAAAAGGAAGGCCAGCATTTAAATCCCCAAGTCAGCAGCCAGCTGCGCACAGATGCATGGGAGAGGCAGGCAGTTACACCACACTGATAACTGGAGCAGAGGCTCATTGCAAAGGCAGGGGTGGAGTGCCTGGAGCAGCTGTGACAAAAGCCCGACATAATCCATGACAGAGGGTGGACCAGTGCTCAGAAACCAACATCTTGCACAACTTTTTCTTAAAAATCTCTGCCTTTCCCTTCCTCCAACTTACACCACACAGTTTTGAGACAAATCCAGGAATTTCTCGGCCTTCCTCATCCACCCCCACTAGATCTTCGAGTGAGAGTGTCCTGGGAGTGCTAATGCTGCAACCTGCTTCTGTTCGTTGCTGCTTGTGACCTGTCACTCGACTAGAAAATGGTCTTGCCGCTCACACTACACACAAGCTGGTTCAGGTCACATGTGGGTTATGCTAAAGTGGGCGTTAATACAAGAGACATTATTTTTAAAAAAATACAGCCTTGTGTTAAGGTGCATTATCTCTTTGGTTATTCTCACCGAAGACGTCTGGAGAGAATCAGTGAAAGAGGTTTCAGAAGGAAGGCAGACAGGAGCATTCCCGTTAAAGCTGCTCTCCTGAGAAGAGGAGTTTGGCACATCCACAGTGCTTGGTGACTGGCTGGCTGTGGTTGGCACCGCTAGGTCAGGGCTCTGAGATGGATGGACAGGTGGAAAAGGTGGGGTGGTGGAGACGCAGGAGGAGGTAGAAGAAAGAAAAGGAGGGATGGAAGCTTGGTTGTGAGGCACAAAGTCCTGCGAGTAGGACCTAAACACAGATTTGTACTACAGGAGGCAAAAGGAACAACACAAAAACAAGGAAGACAGGAAAAGGAGAAAGACAGACAAAAGAAAAAGTAATTAGATTCACAGTAGCTTGGCAGTGACAGTACAAGGTAATTCTAACAAAGGCATCCCTGCATTCAGAGGCTAAACTAAAAGGAGACAGCATTTATTTTATCACCCGCACACAGTAGCTAGGAGAGCTACCTGGGACACTGGCCAGTTCTTCCTAGGTAAAGGCATGTTTCTGTACAAATAGGAGGCAGGCTGCTCATCTTAGAGAAGCCATGGAAAGGAGTCCACAGTGTCATACCTGGAGAGATTCAGTCTTAGGAAAGTCTTGCATAGTTTGGTACAATCAGTGACAAAAGATGCACCTCGAAAACTGTATCAAGTTTGTGAAAAAACACACAGGTATACAGAAACCACAGCAATGAGCATGGTGCAAATACCTACTTGAAGAAAAGTATTCTGCATGCACAGGACTTTTCTGAGGATTTCCATGGGAAACACACTCAAGAAACTGTTTGGGGAAACCATATAATTTGGTGGTTACTGTGAAAAGTCTGCTCCACCGATATAAAACCTGACAGGGGAAAGGGTCCAAACACCGTCTTTCAAAGTCAAGCTGAAATGGAAGGCAGGTTACAAACACCGAAAACTTCAGGGAGCAGAAATGTCGATTGCTCCAAAGAGCAGCCAACTCGCCATTGAAACCATCCTCTCTTATTCAATGGGTCTCGGGAAAATTAGTTGGAAAAGGGATGGAAGGAAGCTTTCAATCTATACAAAGCCCTGTTGTGCTACATCTCCTTACTGTCAGACTATTTTCCCAGGTTGTACTGAACAAGGGTGGGATGGCAGAAGTACACTGAGTCGATAAGAAAAAGCCCACACCTCACTGCAAATGCTGCTGGTGAGAACTCCCGGCAGGATGACAGACGCAGGAACAGATTTCCCAGACTAAAACTGACACCCCGTTAAAAAGACAGACATATGAGGCTATATCTGCTGGTCATGAGTTTACTTTAAAACGCACATAGCTGAACCACTGGCAAGACCTGCAGTATCCAGGAAACTTGAAAAAAAAGAGTGAAGTCATCCAAAAAGCTTGGGAGAAGCTGCACTTGCATCTCACTGGCACCAGAATTGATGAGCTGCTTTAGGACAACCACTGGCTAGTTTTCTAGCAGGGCAAATGCAATTCGATCGAGGCAGGCAAATAAAGATGCTGCCACATTTAAAAAAGGGGAAAAATATGAGTCTTGAACGCCATGGCCATGCTTTTTCAGTACTGGAACTTCAACAACCCACCTCAATTCTTAGTAGGTTGACCACAGCCTACTAAGGTTATGGCCAACCTACTAAAAAGCATAAAAAGCAAAGCCGAACTCACTGCCTGACACAGAGCATCAGCACCGGGAGGCGATTAATTTGGCCCTTTATATTTCATCCTGAAACCAACTCAATGTCCAGCAGAGAAAAATCTAACCTGATAAGTCAAGGCACTCCCTGTGCCAGCAGCTGGGGCAGGGAAGCTTTACCACCACGAACTGAAAATGAAACAAAGAGGCACCTGGTAGATTTTACCTTCCATCACCTTGGTCCTCTTGGCTGCCCCTCACATTGGGTGTGGAGCCCGTGCAAGACTCTCCGCGGTCTCGGAGCCTGGCCTCAGTTGCCCATCATTACCGAGAAGAACCGAGGGAGGTGCTTTGGAAGCAGCCCCTTCCTGCAAGCCTGCTGCTAAGAGGAGTCTGGCTCCAGGTCACGCTCCTTTCCGTTCCTGCCCATCTCTTTACAGAGAGCAGAGCTGGCTCTGGGGACTCTGTCAGCATTTGGTGCTGCCTCAGTAACACTGACAGGTCTAATCTCCATATTTATGTTTGGCTGCTTGGATAAATGCCCCTCATTTATTCTTTTTCACTCGCCTGGTACAAAATGTTAAATCCCCTTGTAAGACTCCGGGCTCATGACATCGGCCTAGCTCAGCACATTCATTCTCCCTGCCACGTCTGGCTTGATATTTCACGATCTCACCAGTATTAATGTCCTGCTAATGTTGCACGCTTCAGGCTAGGCCCCGATTAGGAAGGGGAGCTGTGTGAACGAGGAATGGGGATGAGCCACCAAGCACCCTTAACTGGCAGCTCTGCTGCCCTTGTAATGCTGGCTTCACAACAATGGACTTCTCTGCCCTGATTAAAGGAAATTTTTGTCTCAAGCATGACCTGTGTCCCAGCTGAAGCCCTGTACCCTCGGTTCAG